GGGGGGAATAAGGCAGGGGGGTCTGTGTCACCTTCTTTCCCTCCCCTGGAATTTCTTTGTGCTCCCCTCCCCCCCCCAGTTTGGGAACCCATGATCTAATTGATATGCTAGTAGAGTTTTCCTCATTAGTAGAATTGAAAATCAATTTTTCTGGGATTGTTTGATTTTTCCACATCTGTTAAATTCTTGTATTGGGCTTAGGAGGAGATCTGATAATTGGCTTGCTCAGAAAGTAGCGTGTAGTGCTGATGTTTTTGAAAGCAACATTAATTGACTATTAATTGACTAATTAAGATAAGGGATAAGGGATCTTTTAGAAAAGGCTTTATTTTCCGAATGATCTGCGTCTAGACCGGCGCTTTTTTCCGGCAAAGCTCCTAGCCGAAAAAAAGCGGCAGCCATTTTTATGCTAATGAAGCGGGGGAGATTTAAATCCCTGCTTCATTAGCAATTGCGATACGTCTAAGTTGCATCCCTTTTATGAAAAAGGGATGCAATCTAGATGTAGCCCAAAAGTGTGGGGAAGAGTATTACCATTTAAACTTGTAGAGAAAATTTGATTTATTTTTACTTCGGGGCAGGCAGAAATCAATATTCATGAGTTGCACTGTTACAATCTAAAGTTTGTGAGATGTTTTACCTAAACCTTCTTTTTGGCTGATAGTCAAAAGAAACACATTTGTTTCTTAAATTCAGGAGCAAGAAGAAACAGCACTTCACCTTGCAGTTAGATCGGTTGATCGAACATCACTTCACATAGTTGACTTTTTAGTGCAGAATAGGTAAGTGAAATATTAATTATTAAAATGCAACTGTTTGATCTATTCCACAGGCAGTTATTGTTAATGTTCCCTCTAGTTTTTCCTACCCCTGAACTGTGGCCAGCAGAGAGAGGCTCCATTCTGTTGGCCACAGTAACTCCATGCTAGTGCTTTGGGGAGAGAGATTTCTCCTCATTGCAGTTCTGAGCCCCTTTGTGGGAGTTAATGGGAACCTGTGCCGCAACACAGCTGCATGGTTTAAGTGGAACTTAGGTTACAGAGGAGGTGAATTTGGCCCCAAAACTTCAATTCTGCCCTTTGAAATTTTAGTTGCCCAGGTATTTGTGGGAAGAGAACTTTAATAACATGTGATTAGGAAATTAATTTGAATCAACTTTTTTCCTCAACAGTGGTAACCTTGACAAGCAAACATCTAAGGGTAGCACAGCTTTGCATTACTGCTGTTTGACTGACAATGTTGAGTGCCTCAAATTGCTGCTGAGAGGGAAGGCTTCTATTGAAATAGGTAAGAAGATAATGTGTACTTCAGTTTAATATTTGCTACTATTGCAAAAGGTCTGTGATAAAAGTATAGTAATGATACATGAAATTAGCAATGCATCTGCATTTCCCTCTTCTATTGTGTAGCATGTTCCATTGTATAATATCTCCGTTCTTTTAGAAATTATTAAAATATTGATTTTTTTAAAAATTCAAGTTGAAAGAAAGCAGGGTAGATTGATTAAAATTAGCTATTTAAATCATCAAGTGGAAAGCCTTGATTTAAATTGTTCGTTTTAATCCACGCTTCCATTCCTGTTTCCACTGGTTGATACAACATTGTGATTGGCAACTAAATAGAGTCTTTACACAATTTTGGCATGTGTTTTTGCTACATAGCTTGGAACACTATAACTATATATATTTATTTAAGCAATTGTATAGTTGTAGCATTTTGGGGTTCAACCCAGACCAGTGAGAAATTGTGTTGTCACCTGCTTTGTAATCCTGGGTGCCTGAAATGCTCCGTTGCCGTGGCTCACAGCCCAGACACCAGCATCCAGCTGACAAGCATGTCATTCCCTAGTGTCTTTGTCCTGGGCAGCCCTGGTTCAGCGCTGTGACCCCAGCAGCCTGTCCACAGCCCAACATCTCAACTCTGGTCTCCACCAGCCTGAGTTTCTACTTTTAGAGTGACCACAACGCACCATAGTCACAAATTTCCTCAAAACCATATGCCATGAAATGTCTGGCTCTCTCCTATAATACTGAAGGAAGTAATAAGGTTTGCTGTTCCTTTAAAGAGATGAAAGCACAGTTTAACCAGAATTGACAGTCCTTTCAATTCAAACATAGCAGTCAACTGGATTAGAGTAAAAATAAAACAAATTTATTACTAAAAGGACAATAGGTTAAGCGATACTGAGTAGAAAGTATTGACTAGATTACAAACAAATAAAAGTAAAACTATGTTTTCTAATGGCTATGACCTAACTTAACATGCTGTAGACTTTGCCCAAGGTAGATTTCTTACTATTTTTCATCTGATATAGCTCACCAGAGCTATTGGCAAGGACTCAACACAGAGCATAAAACACTTGGTTAACATAAGAACATAAGAATGGTCATAATAGATCAGACCAAAGGTCCATCTAGCCCAGTATCCTGTTTTCCAACAGTGGCCAGTACCCATGCCCCAAACTGGGAGTGAACAGTAAAGGTAATCATCACTTGATTCGTCTCCATTTCCAGCCTCTGACAAACAGGGCTAGGGACACCATTCTTACCCATCCTGGCTAATAGCCATTGATGGACCTAACCTTCATGAGTCTGTCTAGTTCTTTTTTGAACCCTGTTAAAGTCCTGATCTTCACAATATCCTCTGTCAAGGAGTTTCACAGGTTGACTGTGCGCTGCGTGAAGAAAAACTTCCTTTTGTTTCTTTTAAACCTATTACCTATTAATTTCATTTGGTTCTTATGCTATGGGAACAAGTTAATAACTTTTTCTTATTCACTTTCTTCATACCTATCTTGATTTAATAGACCTCTATCATATCCCCCCTTAGTCGCCTCTTTTCTGAAAAGTCCCAATCTTATTAATCTCTATTCATATGGCACCCATTCCACACCCATAATCATTCTTGTTGCCCGTTTCTGAACCTTTTCCAATGCAAGTTACCTTTTTTGAGATCGGCAACCCTATCCATACGCAGTATTCAAAATGTGGGCATACCAGGGATTTATACAGAGGTAATAAGATATGTTTTGACTTATTCTCTATCCCTTTTTTAATGATTCTCAACAGTCTATTTGCTTTTTTGACAGCCGCTGCACATTGAGTGGATGTTTTCAGAGAACTATTCACAATGACTCCATCATATTGCATATAGAGTTGGGATTATTTTTTCCAATGTGCATTATTTTACATTTGTCACCATTAAATTTCATTTGCCATTTTGTTGCCCAGTTGTTTAGTTTGGTGAGATCTTTTTGAAGCTCTTCACAATCTGCTTTGTTCTAAACTATCTTTAGCAATTTAGCATCATCTGCAAATTTTGCCACCTCACTATTTACCACTTTCTCCAGATTATTTATAAATAGGTTGAATAGGATTGGTCCTAGTACAGACCCTTGGGGGAACCACTGGTTACTTTTCTCCATTCTGAAAATTTACCTTTGTTTCCTGTCTTTTAACCAGTTATCAATTCATAAGAGGACCTTCCCTCTTATCCCATGACAACTTACTTTATGTAAGAGCCTTTGTTGAGGGACTTTGTCAAAGGATTTCTGGAAATCTAAGTATACTATATCCACTGGCTGTAATAAATCAGTATACTTCATACATTAAGTTGTCACAATGAGCAGCTGCCAGCTAGTTGCAGCTGTGGATAGCTTAACATGAAGGAAGATCAGTTTTAGAATAGCTTAGTTTGGCTCATTCATTCAAATCTGTTTTGTTCAATTGTTGTGGAAAAAATATTCCATGATCAATTAACAGGAAAATTGTACTTAAGACATGGGAGCTTATTTTCCCATTTTGCTTGACACTGGTGAAGCTTCAGCTGGAATATTGTGTGCCACACTTTAAGAAAGAGGTAAGTAAACTGGAGCAAGTTCAAAGGAGAGCAATAAAAGGGTTAGCAAACCTGACCTATGAAGAAAGGTTAAAAACATTGGGAAAGGTTTAGCCTTGAAGACTGAGGGTGATTCTGTTATAAAGAGGAAGGAGATCAATTGCTGTCCATTTCACCGAATGCAGGACAAGTCATTATGGTCTTAATCTACAGTAAGGAAGATTTAGGTTAGATATTAGGAAAATATTTCTTGTTATACAGATGGTTAAGTACTGAAATATGCTTCCAGGGAGGTTGTCGAATCCCCATCCCAGGAGATTTTAAAGACTAAGTTAGGCACCTGTGAGAGATATTCTAGGTATACTTGGTCCTGCCTCTAAGTCTCTGCTAGTCCTACATTTCTATGATTCTGTGATTACATAACTATAGGTTTAACTCAGGTTTAATAATGTGTTCGTATCACCTGTTACACATAGTAATGTGACTTTGTCTTTTTACTGAATTATAGCCAACGAAGCTGGAGAGACACCACTTGATATAGCTAAACGTTTAAAACATACACACTGTGAAGAGTTGGTAAGTTTTTTTGTATCTTTTTACAAATTAATTTTTTTGAACTTTTAATAATTCATAGTAGGTATTCACTGAGTATTTTTAACATAGAAATACCAGCAGCATCTCTTCAGTGTCCTGTAAGAAACAAATGTATGAAATCAGTCCAGTACCTCCTTGATAGGAGTGTACATATAAGAATTGCCATACCAGTTAACTCCTTTGTTTGGCAGTCTCTACAGAGAAGCCAATAATTGAAGCAAATGTGGCCCGAGTTACCCTCTCATTCTGTAACATGGTTAAGGGGCAGTGTTACATCGTGAAAGGCCAAGCTGCATCTGGTTTATTTACTTTGTGGATACACACAAGATTTCAGTCTTCAAGTTTGCCTATCCAATAACCTTCTGAAACACTAATCTCTGTTTTAAAAGACATAATCTCTACACTTTAAAAGTATAAACATAATGATTTTTACATTCGTTCAAGGAGTTTATTGTCGATAACAGACTATTGTGTTTCCTTAGCTTACTCAAGCATTATCTGGAAGATTTAATTCTCATGTTCACGTTGAATATGAATGGCGATTACACCATGAAGATCTGGATGAAAGTGATGATGATGTGGATGAAAAGTTGCAGGTTTGTGCCTGACACTATATATTTGAATTTACAAATGTGTCTTTTAAAGATATTTGTATGTTTTAGATAAAATGTTACATTGTTTCCATAGGTAAGGGTGCAGAAAAATCAAAAGAAATTTCATTATGGAATTAAGTGATTTTATTTCTAGATTATTTCCTTGAATTATTGTTATTACTTCCTGAATTATATAAAACAATTGAGTGGTGCCTTTGTGATGAAAAGGGGGGCAGTTGAAGCATATGATGACTCCTCCTCTTCCCAAAGATGGCATTTTAGTGATAGTCAGTGCAGAACACAATACAGTTTGTTTCAGTAAATCAAAAGTTTTTGTGTTTATGGAACACGTAGAAGAAGCCATCATCAAGGATAGGAAAGGTACCTTCAAAAGATAAAGTGATTCATTATAGAATCTTCACATACTTTTTAAAATGTCTGAGATCAGTGGCTCTGATTTTGCATTTCACTTCAGTGGGACTAATACTGTGCATTAAATTAAGCATGTCCATTGTTTTTTGCAGGATTGGGACTTTAGCCCTTTTGTAAAATGTATATTTTCCTTTCCATATTCTGAACTGGTGGTATTGGTGGTTTTAGTGTAAAATTTTCAGAAGTATCCGAGTGATTAAGGGGAGTGACTAAGTCACATTTCATAATGGGTTGATCAGCTGGGATACACTATGTCCCAGACAGAGCTACAAATGGCCCTAGATGCTGCAGATACTGCAGCTAGGTCTACTGCAGCATCTGTGGTAATGACACATGCATCTTGGCTGCAAGCAGCAGGAGTCCCTAAGGACCACCAGGCCAAAGTAGATTACCTGCCACTTGATAAAACCAAATTGTTTGCTACCGGTACTAACGAGGCCTTGCACTGTAGCAGATTCATGTACTATTTTGTGCACATTGGGGATGTACACTCCACCCTTCTAGAGCAAGCACTACACACCTTGCCAGGGACATGGGACATGGCTTTTACTAGACAACAGCAGTACCAGCCTTTTGAACAGAGTCGCTTCCAACCTCAAAACCACTGTAGAAGATCCCCTTAACAACGGCTCTTCCACGACTCTCATCTCTAGGCAGCAAGTTTGAGAATTTCATCGAGGGTCTGCTTCATCTCCCTTCTGCTCCAGTACCTGGCAAGTCCAACATATTTCACCACCACTTGCACCCTTATTACAATCAATAGGCACCAATCACCACACTTCGGTGGGTACTAGAAATCATCAGCCGTGGATATTCTATCCCAGTGTTTCTCAACCAGTGGTACAGGTATCCTATGGGGTACTCGAGAGAAGTCTGGAGGGTATGTCAACACAACTGAAATTTGGGGAAACTGAATTTTTGTTTGTTTTACAGCGCTTTATTATTTTTGTACTTTTTACACCCCAAAATTTCATTACCCATCCGGCTACAATTAAGTTGTTTAAACAAATGTGTTGCAAATGGTAGGGGAAAAAAAGTGTGTGTCTGAAAACTGTAGGTACTGGGGATACTTATAATTTTTTTTAAAGGGGTACTTAATAAAAAATGTTGAGAAATACTGTTCGATCCCCGCAACCTGCTTACCCTCTCCATCCCTCTTCAGGGACCCCCTCACGACACACCGCTCTGCCAAGAGGTGCAATATCTCATCAATATAAGAGACGTAGAATGAGTCCCAAAAAGAATCGAAGGGAGAGGTTTTTTATTCTGGCTATTTTCTCACCGAGAAAAGGTCAAGGGGTTGGAGGCCCATCTTGGACCTGCGGCAAATAAACAAGTACCTTCACAAGCAGCAATTCAGAATGATTACTCTCACCACTACAATTCCAGCACTGGACAGAGGGGACTAGTTCGCAGCCCTCGATCTTCAAGATGCATATTTTCACATCATAATACATCTCTCACACATGCATTTCCTATGATTTGTGGTAGCTTCACATCACTTCCAGTACAGAGTCTTCCCATTCTGACTCTCTTCTGCCCCCAGAGTCTTTTCCAAGACCCTCGCAGTGGCCGCAGCACATCTCAGATGCAAAGGCATTACAGTATTCTCCTATCTGGACGACTGCCTTATCAAGGGCCCCTCACAACATGCCATGAGAGGCATGATCAAGTTTACAAGGCCTTTCTTCAGTCGCTAGGCTTCATTATCAACGAGCAGAAATCCACACTATACCCTAACCAATCTCTGAAGTTCATAGACTCGCATAGATTGAATAATAGCACAAGCCTATCTGCCCAATCACCATTTCAACAACATAAAAAACCTCGTCACTATCATTACCACCAGCCCAACCATACCCATCCGAACTTGCCTTAAGCTTATGGGACACATGGCAGCCACCACATACATAGTTCCGCATGCCAGGCTGCACTTTCAGTGTTTCCACATTGGATTTCTTTAGTATACATGCCATCCAGCCGCCATGTCTCACCTCCTCTATGGGTCTTTACCGATGGTGGACCCAGGTGCAGAACCTACACAACGGGGTTCTCTTCCATCATGAGCAACCATCCAAACAGATTACTACGGACTCCTTGCTGATAGACTGGGATGCACGCTTCCAACAACAGATTGTGCAAGGGTAGTGGTTCAAAGATGAGTCCAAACTTCACCTAAACCTGGTCAAACTTTGAGCAGTTCACAATGAGTGCAAGGACTTTCTCCCACACATCCAGGGCTCTTCAGTGCATATCCTCACTGACAACATGACTACTATGTTGTACATCAATCGCCAAGGGGGTGCGAGACCCCAGTTGTTATACGCAGAGGCAATCAAGCTGTGGAATTGGATTATCCACCACAACATAACCATCACAGCAGCATACTTACCTGGGGACAAGAATATTATGGCAGACACCCTAAACTGCAACATCCTCAAAGAGCATGAGTGGGAGCTGCATGATCACGTCACCCACAAGCTCTTCCAACGTTGGGGTATACCACAGATAGTCCTCTTTGTGACCAGACAGAACTCCAAATGCCCCCAATACTGTTCAAGAGCTGGCATAGGATATGACTCCCTGGGAGATGCAATGCTCCTTTCTTGGGGGACCTGTTCACTATATGCCTTTCCTCCTTATCCCCCTCATTCCCAGGGTCCTCTGAAAAATACAGGAAGACGGAGAATGAGGAATTCTAATAGCTCCAGCGTGGCCTCTGTAAACATCGTTCCCGTGTCTTTGTCAACTGTCTCTGCGACCTCCCTGCCCGCTTCCAAACCATCCGGAACTTCTCTCCCAGATCAAGGACTCAATACTTCATCCGCAACGGCGAATGCTACACTCATGGCATGGTACCTATCTGGTTCTCGGAAGCGGAGCAGCAGTGCTCCCAGCAAGTGAGAAACGTACTGCTGCACAGCAGGAGGCAAACAACATACAAGACTTACCTGTACAAATGGCATTGCGTTACGCAGTGGTGCACACACACAGGAATCCAAATCTCCACCTGAAACTGGAATATATTATGCACCTGAAACAACAAAATGTATCGCTCTGATCACTCCGAGTGCACTTAGCAGCCGTTATGGCCTTCCATCCCCCCATTGATGGGTTCTCCATATTTTCCCATCCTATCTCTAAGAGATTCTGGAAGGGTCTACAAAATATTCACTCACAGCATACATCCATACCTCCCACGTGGGACCTAGGATTGGTCTTCCACTCACTTAAAAAAACACCTTTAGAACCAATAGCAACTTCCATCACTTACCTTCCTCACCACGAAGATGCTATTTCTTCTCGCAGTCATGTCCGCAAGGTGGATTAGCGAACTTGCAGTGCTCCCGGCTTCGTCTCCATACATGACCTTTCACAAGCACAAGATTATCTGTGGCCTCATCCATCTTTTTACCCAAAGTTGGGTGTGAATTCTATATCAATGAGTCAATAGTCCTTCCCACCTTCTATCCAAAACTGTACCGCTCCAGAGAAGAGGCCACATTACATACCCTGGACATTAGGGCAATTGCCTTCTATCTTGATAGAAGTCAGTCCTTTTGGTTATCCCAGAAATTGCTGGTATCCCTGACTGAAAGGCCCAAGGGACAACCACTGTCTTCTCAGTGCATTTCAAAGCTGATAACATCATGCATTACTACCTGTTACTTGCTCCAGAACAGGTCTTTACCAACAATTCCAAGACCATTTTACCAGGGTGATGGTGACATCGGCTGCTTTGCTAAAGTGAGTCTTATTCCAGGAAATACACAGAGCAGCGACATAGTTGTCAAATTGTACATTCATGAAGCACTATGCTATTCCACCATGCTCCACAACAGATACCGTAGTAGCCACTGCGGTCCTCCCCACAATCTGTAGCAATTAATTGAAGTCCACTGTCCATTCAAATGGTCACTGCTACACAGTCGCCAATGGTGGAGCACCCGCAGGGACATCACTTGAAGAAGAAAGAGAAGTTACTTACTTTGTGCAGTAACGATTGTTCTTCGAGATATGCCCCCACGGGTGCTCCACGACCCGCCCTCCTCCCCACTTCTTTGGGCAATAATAGCAGCCATGAGAGTGTCAGAGAAAAAACAGAGGGAAAACCAGGCTGTGCGTGCTTCTTCAAAGGTGGTAATTCCATTTTCTGCTTGTGTGTGTGCAGCCCGCCTGATGACTGCTTGAAAGTCTCCAATGTGGGGTGCTGGGACAAGCCCGACACCAACGGTGGAGTACCCACGGGGACACACATCTCGAAGAACAATTGTTATTGCACAAAGTGAATAACTTCTCTATATTCTGAGGACAACAGCATATGTGTCTACAGTACTGTGGGTATAAATACCTACTTGGCTTGAATGCAGTTGCTAAATGGCTCATTTTATTTATACCAACAATCTGTGCAATTGTGTGTTTATCTAACCATATTTTTAAGGCACATCTTTACTCTTGTTGATCTCTGGAATGTTACAACCCAATCCTGTGAACCTATGACTCTGTCTATTGTTCTGTATTATTAGAGAACAATAATTACAAATTATTATTTTATGATTGTTGCAATAGGAAAAAGTAGCATAGCAAAACAGATGACTTCCTTGAAAACTTGACAAACTAATTAGGGCACATATTAATAATGTGCACAGGCTGATCAACACTCCCTCTTCTTGGCAAACTCACACATCGCCTTTTAACTGGACCAAGTTAACTGGACTTGCTTCCTGTTTAGTAAGTTGAAGAGAGCCAGTGAGAGACTTGGACTCATGCCCTTTTTGCTTACAGATGAAATTTTCAAAAGTGTGTTAGTCACCTAGGAACCTAAGTTTCGGTGAGACTTAGAAGGTTTGAAAATGAATCTTGCGTTCCAAGTCAGTTAGGCACTTTTGACAATTTTTCCCTGTATTATTACAGACGTAAATGCAGGAATACTTAACTAGTATTCTTTTACTACTATACTTTACTAGTCCAAATTGGGGGATTTGTATTATTGAAGGGAGTTACCATGCTGGGTACATTCATGGGCTTTTAGGCAAAGTGTTATTCTTCCTTTATGAGAGTTTGATGATTAATGCTGTAGTAGTTGTGCTTGTTCATCTTTAATGATTGAACGATTAAAAGATAAAGTAGAGTTTTTACATAGGCCTGCGTAATTTTCAGCATAAGAATGTGAGGTGTGTGATGAGCCCTCTGATAGTACTTCTAAAGAATTCTAGAAGTATTTTTTAACAAGGGAGTTTCACCTTTGTTTGAAGTGGAATAAAGACTGTGTACATGAACATCAGTAAGGAATCTACTCTGCTGCACTTTCTAAATCTCTACTCTTTTGTCCAAACTGCTCACGTTTCTTGTAATGATTAGAATAGTGGTTATCCCACAACAGCATTGACTTCTGAACATCCCATCATTTCTAGAACAACTTTTGATCACATAGGAACAAACATCTGCAAGTCAAGAAACTTTTGTACCTTTAGAAAGTTGTGATTTAAAATTTTAAAAATGGTATACACAGCTGTCTTGTATCGTGACTAGGGATGTGAATGGTTAAATGACCTCACTGCAGGCGGGGGGTAGCTGCTCCAGTCCCGTGGATCTTGCTGCAGGTAGGGGCTGCTCTGACCAGCCAGCTGTCGGTGGTGGGCCCAGCCTTAGTGGTGTGACACAGACAGGGGCTGCTCTGACTGGCCACCAGAGCAACCCGTGTACGTGGTGATCGAATCCAGTCCCACTACCGCAGGCAGGGGCTGCTCCTGCTGGCTGGGGCCGTCCTTGTTCATGGTGTGGAATGGCCACTTCAGCCTGGCTATGATGGGGGGGAGGGTGCTTCTGTCCCCCCGCCATCTCCCTCTTTAATCAGTTAACTGGTAAACATAATGTTTAACAAGTTAACGGGATCTTACATCCTTAATTGTGACAAAATAAATTATAGCAGCCTGAAATCAACTTCTGTTTTCAGGCAAAATTCTTATGAATTGAAATAAGATTTTCCAAGTTATGATAGACAAGACTTGAAAGATCCATTTATAGAAGTACTAAGCTTTCTTGGAGAATCATAAGCTACTATATACACTTTCTTTTTAAAAAAGGTAATTTTCTGGCTCTTATGGTTGCACAACATTCCACATCTGGAAAGTCTGAAGCTACTGCAATTCTTTCACTGATTTTGAAGACAGACCAATTCATTGCTTCTACAGAGCCTCTTCATAGCTTTCCTTGAGATAATGCAAAGTGATCAAATACTTGTAAATATCATTGTGTCTGTGCAGAACCCTAGTCAATTTTGCTCTTCAGATGCTAGGTACAAATATGAATAGCAGTTGAGGTAAATACTGGACGTGTTTGCAGGGAAGGAAACCTTAAAAACAAAGGTCAGATAGAGGGTAGATTCTCCTCACTCTCCCTGGCAAATATCCTTTTGTCTTTCTAATAGCCAGTAAGGGCTGAGGAGCACTACATTTACCAGACAGTTACAACATGGGCCCTGTAGTGATGTTTGGTCCTATATATTTATGTTAATTGTGAGCTCAACTGTGAACATTTTATGAGTGTATGTTTATAAAAGGTCACAGTACCCTAACAACAAATGTTATAGAGAAAAGGTACGTAAGGGAGACAAACTGACTAACTCCAAATTAAAAAGCCAACTAATATAACTCTCGGGCTGTGTTAGGATATATTACTACACAAGAAAAGTATAGAATCAACATTAATGTGTTGGGAACCATGCCTAATTGATGGACAAAATAATTAGAGGATGGGCTATTCCACATATCATTCCCTTTTGGGGTCCTTAAAGAAAGGTACTTTGGGGGGAAATTAGCTACAGTAGTGAGCTTCACCATCTTCTGGGACCCCAGACCTGCTTAATCCCAATCCTGAACGATGTCTTGACCAGAGAGAGAAGCAGATGACATCAACACACCCATCAGCTCCGGCTGAATCTTGACCATCACGTGGGATGTAAGATTTTTTTTCTCTTCACCTTT